GGGTCACCCTTCTTATCTCAGTCTACCCGCCTGCGGACCAGCTGACTTGCCTATCCGACTGCAAACCACCATCAGACCTGTCTGTCCGACCGCTAACCATCCTACCGAGGACCAGCCGACCATACCAACCGACCGAGGACCTTCCGACCTGCCTATCCGACCGCTAACCAACCGACCTGATCATCCGATCGAGGACCAACCGACCGAGGACCTTCCGACCTGAGCGCAAATTTTTCTCCTTTTCCACCCGATTTCGTGTCTAACTTCCTTTAAGATCCTGCTATCCTTATTTTTATTTTTATTATTATTATTTTTTGTGCGTAACAATTATCAAAGTTGAAATATCCTTGCTATTTTTGACATTTCAAAACTCATAAAGAGATGCAGGGTCACCCTTCTTATCTCAGTCTATCCGCCTGCGGACCAGCCGACCTACTTTATCCGAACGCAGACCATGAGACCTGTCTGTCCGACCGCTAACCATCCGACCGAGGACCAACCGACCAAGGACCTTCCGACCTGCCTATCCCACCGCTAACCAACCGACCTGATCATCCGACCGAGGACCTTCCGACCTGCCTATCCGACCGCTAACCAACCCACCTGACCATCCGACCAACCCACCTGACCAACCGACTTAAGCACAAATTTTTCTCCTTTTTCACCCGGCTTCATGTCTAACTTCCTTTAAGATCCTGCTATCCTTATTATTATTATTTTTTGTGCGTAACAATTATCAGAGTTAAAATATCCTTGCTATTTTTGACATTTCAAAACTCATAAAGAGATGCAGGGTCACCCTTCTTATCTCAATCTATCCGTCTGCGGACTAGCTGACTTGCCTATCCGACCGCAGACTAGCCGACCTACTTTATCCGACCGCAGACCAGCCGACCTACTTTATCCGACCGCAGATCATCAAACCTGTCTGTCCGACCGCTAACAATCCGACCGAGGACCTTCCGACCTGCCTATCCCACCGCTAACCAACCGATCAGACCAACCGACCGAGGACCTTCCGACCTGCCTATCCGACCGCTAACCAACCCATCTGACCATCCGACCAACCGACTTGAGCGCAAATTTTTCTCCATTTCCACCCGACTTTGTATCTAACTTCCTTTAAGATCCTGCTATCCTTATTTTTATTATTATTATTATTATTATTTGTGCGTAACAATTATCAAAGTTGAAATATCCTTACTATTTTTGACATTTCAAAACTCATAAAGAGATGCAGGGTCACCTTTCTTATCTCAATCTATCCGCCTGTGGACCAGCTGACTTGCCTATCCGACCGCAGACCAGCCGACCTACTTTATCCGACCGCAGACCATCAGACATGTCTGTCCGACCTGCTGACCATCAGACCTGTCTGTCCGACCGCTAACCATCCAACCAGACCAACCGACCGAGGACCTTCCGACCTGTCTATCCCACCGCTAACCAACCGACCGAGGACCAACCGACCAGACCAACCGACTGAGGACCTTCCGACCTGCCTATCCGACAGCTAACCAACCCACCTGACCAACCGACCAGACCAACCGACCGAGGACCAACCGACCTGACCAACCGACCTGAGCGCAAATAATTCGATTGTATTTTTGTTTTACAGTTTATATTTCAAATAAATAGTGTTTCACTACATTACATTATAGAATAGTCGCGCGGTATACCGCGCAAGAGCGTGTTCTAGTATATATATATACCTAAGTGCCACGTGTGTCCCAATTAAATTGAGACACATGACAATTGAATCACATCTTCCCGCATCTCTGCAGAGATGCTGGGAAGCACCGTTCTATTATTATTATTATTATTTGACAAAATTGTCATAACTCTCTTGTGGTTTCGAAACTCAGTGTAAATTCCCACTCTACTTTAAAAATTGTGTGACGTCCCCTTATACTTTAAAAAATGTTGCATGAAACCACTTTGTGGTTTCGAAACTCGGCATAAATCCCCATTTTACTTTAAAAAATTGCATGACGCTCACTTATACTTTAAAAAATATTGCATAAAACCCCCTGCTATGCAAAACATATAGATAGGAAATCATCTTCTTATCACACGAGGAAAGTTCCATGGTAGTGGAGTTTCATGCAACGTTTTTTAATGTATAAGGGGGTACCATGCAATTTTTAAAGTACAGGTTGATTTTACGCTGAATTTTGAAACCATAGGGGAGTTATAAGCAATTTTACCTTATTATTTTTTTTAAAAATGATGATCAGGCGCATCTGTTGGATTAAAAATTCAATGGTGGGTTAAATATAATTATTTAGACTATCAGTCGAATTAAGCCTATATTAAGTGATTTATTAATTTATTGTACGTATATGTATTGAGCAAGTGCGGACCTCCTATGTGCATAAACCCGATAATTTATTAATTGGGTGATGAGGCCAATTAATAATAAGTGATATAAATACGGTTGTGATCCCAGGTCTAGATGCAACAACCATTACGTTTCATATCTCATCAAGGGAGTAACTGCAGAAACCCTAGGGTTGAAGAATACAAAACCCTCAATTATTACAACACGGTAGATCCTGTGCTTAGGGTTAAATTCCTGATAAGTTCCAAAAATTGGTATCAGAGCTTTTCCGTGTTGAATTATTGGGAGAATTTATTTGATAGATTGATGTTTAGTTGATCGATTTTAAATTTGCATGAATTTTGTTGTCGAATTGGCCGACCACTGTATTTATATTAATTAATGTGTGTATGTTATTGTATATGCAATTAGATTTAATACATGCATAATTTATTTATTTATTTATTAGTGCTGATATTATAAATCGAATATTCATTATGATTCATTTGATAGTCCGATTAAATTCGGATTACATCATCATGTAATTTTGACCGTATACGTTTGTTCAAATTCGACTATAATTACTTAATATATTAATATATAGTTTCTTTGGGTGGCATTTTTTGTCTGTGTAATTCCGCTGCATTTAGCACTTTATTGGACAAGTTAATTATTTTAATAAGTCCATATACTAATTGTTGTGTTATAGTTATCATATGTATTGGACATACATAGTTTATGTTAAGGTGAATTTAATTAGTAATAAATAATACTCCCTCCGTCCAGTTAGAAAGTATATATATTTCTATTTTGGGACGTCCAATTACAAAATAAACATTTCATTAAACACATTAGTTTTTTCCACAAATACCCCTACTTTACATCACATCATTACTTTTACACCAAAAAGTAAGGGCAAAAATGTCATTACACTACTTTTAACTACCCACTATAATTAAAATACTATTATTTCTTAAACACCGCGCCAAAAGTAATTGTATACTTTTTTTGTGGACGGAGGAAGTATAATATATTTTATGAATTGGTTGAAACGGTTATGTTGCCAAAGCAACCCCTGCTGTGTAAATCAGTTTATTTTATATATTAGAAGGTTGTGTGTGACTTATAAGGCTGTTGATTGATCCAAAGGCAAGTCAGCCATTAAGTAGTTACATACATATTTAGTGACATTGAATGTGGTGATGATAATTTGGATATTTGTGTGTGAATAATAAATTTGTCCAAAGATTTGTTTGACACACTAATTTATTGTCAACATTCGACTGTCAAAACAAGTTTATCACTAGGGAGTCAGTAATTTGTTCAAAGACAATTGCTGATGTTGCTCAATAACTTGTGATAAGATTGCTAGTTTATTTTATAAATTCAAATACAGAACATTCAGTAGCTTATAGACATGTGCATTCAGTTGTTAATAAACATTCTTTATTTTTTTATAGAATCAGACTCGTATACATTGAACGTGATTCTGATTATAATTTAGTTTAAGAAAATTATAAATTCATTAATAATACATGCTACATTTTGATGGTGAAGATCAAGTATTTGACGTTGCCAAAGTAACCTCTCTTATATAAGATATTTTACTTGATAACGTAAGAGTTTATGTATATTTTAATTCATGTGATTATTCTTCGGCCCAAAGGCAGTCGGTAATTGACAAAATGAAATATACATCTGCAGTAGTATGTATGAGACGATTATATGGATTTAAATTATGTGAATAGTAAATCAGTTTAAAGATTGATTGTTGTTTGACATTACTTATTATCCGTATATGATTATTGCAACAAGATTACTGCTAGCAATCAATATTATTGATCTAAATATTGACCATTGATGTTGCATTTAGTGTCTTGGAATGGGAATGCATTATTATTGAGCTTCATTGTGATTCATTTGGTTGCATGAATCATGACTTGAGATTAATAATAAGACCAACTCACTCATACGGCGAAAAATACATATATATTCTATTATTTATAAATATATTTATATAATTAATATATATAATGTTAGATAAATTAATTTTTATTTTTTTTGGTATTACGATGTTACTGTTAAATATGTAATTTTTTATATTTAAATTGAAAAAATGTTACTTAAATTTAGATGTTGATTTTTTGCAAATACCGATAAATTTTATGCATTAGTCCGAACCAAAATCCAAACATAATTTCTTAAATATTAGACTTGGAATTGGATCCGAACAAAACCAAATCCGATAGGTTTGGATCCGGTCAACATATTTTTAGCTCCCGCCGGATCCCAAAACTGTAATTAGGGATCGGATCTGGATCATCAAAATCCATACCAGATCTGACCTGTTGATAGATCTATCACTACGTGTATAATGATATGTTTATAATTTAGATAAAAATTAAAATAATTTAGTATTAATTTAAAACTATTTTTAGTAAAATAAAAAAATATATCTATTTTTGAACAAAATAAGTAAAAATAATAAAAATAACACTTTAAATTAAAACAAAAATATAAATATAAATAATATCCCACCAAAACAACTCTATATCACAACAGGTTATAAGCACGACTTAATTCACCACTCCCCACTTCAGGTGTATATGTGGTTAGAAGATATACAATAAGAAACAATAATTGAAGAAATATAATTATAACAGTAGCAAGTGGTACGGACCGTATTTGTCGATCGATAGATTGAAGAAGAGCTGGAACAAGTCTGGGCGCAACGTCGTTGGAGAAACTAGTCATGGGCGCCGTATCCTTAAGGTCTCCGAAGAGAACCCTGTAAGAGTTTCCCTTCAAACCCTGCTTCCTCAGGCACTTCTCCAGCCTTTCAGGCCTAAGCCACACAGAGTTGAACACTTTCCAACCATAATAACAAGCAACAGCAAATAGAAAATATTAAGACCACCAACCCAAGAAGCTCCATCTCCAGAAACACAAGCACAGTAATCAGTCCGATGTTATATCTGGTTTAAGATATTATATTGAATTGTATGGTCTGAATTGTATGGTCCCCCACAATTACGGGCGTCATTAATGGGTCTTGTTTGTGTCGGAATGAGCCAGGGATAACAAAAATATTGTCAACTCAAACCGACCCGAACCCGAAGCCGAAATCTGAGCTGAAATCCTAGATCCGAACACGAAACGAATTCTTTCAGGTCAGGTTCAGGTTGATCTGAATTAGTTTCAGGTCACCCGAAATTCGAACAAAACCGATACGAACCCGACACGAAACAGACCCGAAAATTTAAAAAAAATTAAATTGACCTAAAAATATCATTTTTATTTTAACTTTATATAAAATAATATAAATATTATAAATTAAAATAATAATAATAAATATTTCAGGTCAACCCGAAACACGAAATCCAAAACCTAATCTAATTTTATATTTCAGGTTATCAGGTCAACCCGAAACGCAACCCGAACATGACACAAATATTTTTCGTTTCAGGTTCGGATCGATCCGATTTTTTTCAAACCCGAAATACCCAAATCCGAACCTGGAAAATTTCAGCTCGAACGGGTTCGATTTTTCGGGTCGGCTTTACTTTTGACACACCTACCCACAATCACTTCATCGGGCCACCATTTTATAAAAAATCTTTATTATTATTATTATTATTATTATTATTATTATTTTATAGAGCCGGCAATGAGTCGATTCGTGACGGATTGACTATTTTAAACGGGTTAAATTACTCAATTCTAACCCGATCCGTTTATTATTATGTTGGGTTTGTGTTAATCCGTTTATTATCGTGTCGGGTTCGAGTTGACTCGTGTTGACCCGTATACATAATTAAGTCTAATTTCTTGATTCAAATTAAATAATTTTTATTTTGTTGTCGTGTTATGTTAGTTTTTATTGGTTTGAGTTAAATTATTTAAAATTAAACTTAGTTTAAATTAATTTATGAAAAAAATTATTAAATTATGATTATATTTTTATATATAATAAATATATTAATCAATATTATATATTATAATCGGGTTGTCGTGTCGGGTTCGAGTTTAGAGTCTCAACCCTAACCCGACCCGTTTATTATCGTGTCGGATTCGTGTAAACTCGTATACATAATCGGGTTGAAATCTTTGACCAAAACCCAATTATTTTGTGTCGGATCAGTTTTTGCCAACTCTATTATTTTATAACGTGGGAATCCGCAGACGCTGCCCAAAAGTACACACTGGATAAATTATCGGCCGAATCTAATACCCTGTAAATTAAGCCCGACAAGACAAGTCATACTATGTGAACTATGTATGGCAGGTAAACCTGGAGGCGAGGTCTATTATTATTATTAGTAGTAGTAGATTTTTTGTATTGATTTTTTTTTTTTAAAATCAAGAATAGAAATTTTGTTTTGATTTGTACTAGAATTATTAAAAAGTTGATAAAAAAGGTAATGAGCTAAATTAAAAAAATAGGGTAAACTGTTTTTTTTAGTCCCGTAGGTGGACCTCCTTATCATTTTATTCTCGTAAGTGTAGTCTGTCGCAAACTAGTCCCATAATTGAAAAAATTTAGTTGTTTTAGTCATTCGGCGCCGGAGACGCCCACGTGGCTCGCCGAAGGTGACGTGTCCGCAAGGTCAGCGACACCTAGCGGACAAGTGAATTTATTTATTTTTTTCATTTTTTTTAATTGGACTAAATAAAAAAATAAAAAATACAAATAAAATTAAAAATAAATTAAAAATAAGTTTTTAAAAAATTTTGAAAAAATGAAAAAAAAAAAAAAAAAAAGTAAAAAATCCACGTGTCCGCCAAGTGTCGCTGACCTGGCGGACATGTCACCTCCGGCGAGCCACGCGGGCGTCTCCGGCGCCGGATGACTAAAATAGTTAAAGTTTTCACTTGTGGGACTGGTTTGCGACAGACTCTACTTACGGAACTAAAATGATAAGGGGTTCAGTTATGGGACTTTAAAAAAAAAATTTATCCTAAAAAATATGACAAATTAATTATTGTTTATTAATATAAATATAATAAAACTATGAGTTAATAAAATTTTATAATTCATGCCAAAATTTAATAACAATAAAACAAATTGATATAATGATTGCACAGAGAGAATATATATTTTAACTAAACTAAATAATTAAATCAAATTAATTGTAAATTATAGAAATTAATACAAAAATATATTTACAGGTATGCCATTTTTAATTATTTTGATAGTTTTAAATCAATTCAGCTTTATCAAATTCATATACTCCCTTCGTCCCATCGAAAGGTTATCATCCGTCCCAAAATAAGGTTACAATTTCTTAATTTAGTAATTGTACTACATACTTCACATAATAAATACCCTTTCAACTTACAATATATTACACAAATGTCATTACTTTTATATTACACCATACTAACAGGGGTATTTTTATCTTTTTTACTACAATCAAATATAATACTAATATTAAAAAATTTACGTGGAAAGAGCAAACGTTACCCTTGTAGCGGGACGGAGGGAGTACTATTTTTTTTTCCAACATAATCAAATTGTTTCTATTTACAAGAAGACAAATGTCAAAATTATGGGTATGGGTCGGCTACTGGCATATGTTATACAAGTAATTAACATATATATATATATTTTAGCATATGTTGTACTATGGGTGAATATATTATGGTTATATGTATGATATATGTTGATCTGGTTAAATCAACATTATAACATGGCCGGATCAGCACAAAATTTGCATTCCAAAATTATCTTTCACACATTTTAAATAATAAAATACTTCATCCGTTCACTTACAATGTTTATATTTACTTTTGGCGCAGTATTTAAGAAATAATAATATTTTAATTATAGTGAGTAGTTAAAAGTAATGTAATGACATTTTTGCCCTTACTTTTTTGTGTAGAAGTAATGATGTAAAGTAAGGGTCTTTGTGGAAAAAAATAGGGTATTTAATAAAATATTAACTTTGTAATTGAACGTACTAAAATAGAAATATGTAAACATTATAAGTGAACGAATATAGTACTATTTTTATTGCTTTGTAAAACTTTTCCAAAATATTTCCCAAAAAATTAAACATATTACACATATCTATTATTTTTTATATTACCTACATAATTCTTTATATTTCACGTAAAAAAAAAAGAAATCTCATTTGTTTTTGCGTGTTGATATTTGAATATTAATTATTATATCAAAATGTAGTACAAATTAAGAAAAAATTGCAAAAAAAAACTTCAATTAGTGTCTCGTAATCCTAGTAGAAGAAAAACTGTACACAAAATTATATAAATATAAGGATATTTTTAATGTTAAGTACAATGATGCAAAAGGTAAATGTGATCCTAAGAGCCGGACGGAGTGAATAAAATTTTGAATATAAAAGAAAATTCTGATATATTTTCACTAACTAATAATTTATTTATATAATTAATCTTGAATGAAAAATAAGTTTTGAAATTTATATTAAAAAATATAATATTCTATCCGTCCGGTAACTATATACTCATTTACTTTTTGAATATTGAATTCTCATTTACTTTTTGGATATTAAATTTTAAATATTAATATTATATTCATACGTAGTACAAATTAAAAAAAATAAAATAAAAATACCTTTATTAATATTCTATAATACAAATGTAATAAATTTATATAAAATATTATACAAATATAAAAATATTTTACTGTTAAGTATAATCTCGTAAAAAAGCAAATGAATATTACATTTTCTTTGCTATGTATAAAAAAAGTATAAATAATTATTACGGATTGAAAAAATATAAAATAAAAAAAGGGATCATATGCTTAAAATTAAAATTCAGCAGTCTTGCTGAATATTTAACATTAATAATTTTTATTTATAAAGTTAAATAATATGATTAAATTTTAATTAAACTTTAGGGATGAATATGGCTGCTAACCCGATTCATGCTAATACTCTTTTCGTTTCATAACAACATAACAACATATTCATTCACTTTTGGTACGTTGATTTTTGAATATTAATTATTATATTAAAATATATTAAAAATTAAAAAGATGACAAAAATATTTCTATTAATGTCTTATAATACTAATTGTTGATGTATTTTTTCAACAAACAAAAAAGTAAAATTCAAAGATATAGAAAATATCTTTAAACTTGATTAATTAGTGCCTGAGATTAGGAATCTCTAAACACTGTACTATACAGTACATAAGAAAATTGACTGGAAAATAAAATGCTGGAAATTTAAAGTGATGATCCGCAAATTTGACTTTGCTTTGTTGAAGTTGATTGAAGATGCATTCTTCGGAAAAATCAAAATCCTTAAATATTCCTTGAAGAAAACGCTTGGAACCGTCGCCTGGTTGGTTACAACAACCGCAAAAAAAAAACGTTTTGAAACGTCGTCTGGTCAGTTACATCAACTGTCTCGCCAACTGCATAACCCAACCGACTAATCCAACTACTAACTGGTCGCTAAACCAGAAGACTCCTTGACCGCCCCACCAAACGACCAAACTACTGTTCACTTAAGTGGGCAATCAATTACCAGACCTTACTTCGCCCGACTTCCGTAGCAGCCTACTTTACTTGGTCCGACTTCTGACCAATCGACCTGACTACCCGACCTGCTGACCAACCGACCTGCAGACTTTCCGACCTATGGACCATCCGACCTGATTACCCAACCACAGACCTTTTGACCTGACTATCCGACCTGCTGACCAACCGATCTACAGACTTTCTGACCTATAGACCATCCGACCCGCTAACCAACCGACCTAGACCAACCGACCTGAGCGCAAATTTTTCTACTTCTTTGCCCGACTTCGGGTCCTACCTTCCTTCAAGACCCTGGTACCATTATTTTTATTATTATTATTATTATTATTATTATTATTTGTACGTAACACTAATATAATGATATTTGTACACAAAATTATATGTATATAATAATATTTTTAATATTAAATATAATGACGCAAAATATAAATAAATACCTTGTTA